TGTCAAGAAGAAGGTATAGATTTTGATGAAACCTTCGCTCCAGTTGCTAGACTTGAAGCTATAAGGCTGTTTCTAGCCTTTGCTGCTCATAAGGACTTCAAAGTCTATCAAATGGATGTCAAAAGCGCATTTCTCAACGGAAACCTCGAGGAAGAAGTTTATGTGGAACAACCTCCAGGATTTGAGTTACACACTAAGGGAGATCAAGTGTATAGACTCAAAAAGGCGCTGTATGGACTCAAACAAGCACCAAGAGCTTGGTATAATACATTGTCTCAATTCCTTATAGACAATGGATTTACCAAAGGAGTCATTGACAAGACATTGTTCAAACTACAAGATGGAGAAGATCTCTTATTAGTCCAAATCTATGTGGACGACATCATATTTGGCTCAACTAAGGAAGATCTCTGCACCAAGTTCTCCTCCCTCATGCAAGGATAATTTGAGATGAGCATGATGGGGGAACTTAACTACTTCCTTGGTCTTCAAATCAAACAGAGAAGTGAAGGGACTCTCATCAACCAAGCCAAGTACACAAGGGATCTTATCAAGAAATTCAAAGTTGATCAGAAGTCATCCGTTTCTGTCCCCATGAGTACATCCACCAAGCTTGATATGGATGTAGATGGAAAGGATGTAGATCAAACTCTCTACAGAGAAATTGTTGGATCTCTACTCTACCTCACTACAAGCCGTCCGGATATTTCATATGCAGTAGGCGTTTGTGCCAGATTCCAGTCAAAGCCAAAGGAAAGTCATCTGATAGCAGCTAAAAGGATTCTTAGATACTTCAAAGGAACTCAGAACATGGGTTTGTGGTATGCTACGAGCAATTCATTTGAATTAGTGGGATACTCAGATTCTGACTTTGCCAGATGCAAAGTTGACCAGAAAAGTACATCGGGTACTTGTCAATTCATTGGTGGAAATCTTGTTTCTTGATTCAGTAAGAAACAAAACTCCATCTCTACATCAACAGCAGAAGCAGAGTACATTGCTGCTAGTAGTTGTTGTGCACAGATCTTGTGGCTAAAGCAACAACTAATGGACTATGGAGTCAAGACAAAGGAAGTGACAATCTTTTGTGATAATCAAAGTGCTATAGCCATCTCACAAAATCCAGTGCATCACTCTCGCACTAAGCACATTGATGTCAAGCATCACTTCATTAGAGATCATGTGGAAAAGAAAGATATCAAAATTGAGTATATCTCAACTGAAGAACAACTGGCGGATATCTTCACAAAACCACTAAGTGAAGCCAAGTTTTCCGATTTGCTTCACAAAATTGGTCTAATTCAATTAGACTGAGTGCGGTACATGTGGCAGACGGCTTTCCATGTCTGTCAAGATATCGGGTAGGCACGTGGGCTTGGGAATAGTCAAAAACCCAATCGCCACCAGACGCATAAATCGTCCAAATTAAACCCAATCGGCACTATTCAAATCTCTCTTTCGTCGTCTTCTTCGCGAGAAACTCTGAAGAACCCTAAATTTTTTTTTCAGATTCTCACTCAAATTTCTGAGAAAATGAAGGTTGTTGGCGCTAATGTTCATTTCCAGAAGTTGGAAGCCAAATGCTCTTCACCGGCATTCTATCAAAGCTATCTGGAGATGATAGCTGCTCAAGAACTCTCCGAATTCCTTCAAATGGAGATTCGACTCAAATATGAAGAAGAAGTTCTTGAATTCTACAGAAATGGAAAGGTCATGTCTGTTAAATCAAAGAAGGACCCACAGAGGATGATTCAAGTCATCAAGTCTACTGTTGGAAGGACCAAAGTGAAGCTTTCGCAGAAGAAATTGGGAGAAAAGCTTCACCTTCCCAATTCTGGAGTTGAAATTGGGAAATTTCCAGTCAAAAATCTGGACTGGAACATTATTGGAATTTCTGGGCAAGCTCCCTTTGGCCCAGCGAAGAAAGCAGACCTGAACAACGACTACAAATTTGTTTTGGAACTGGTCATCGCTTGCCTCGAGTGTGGAAGTGGAGGTCATGCTGATGACATCACCCAGGAAAGAGCCTTCATCATCAACGCCCTCATTACCAAATCAAAGGTAAACTGGGCTGCACATTTCTTCAAATCCATCTCAAAACATCTGGGAAAGCCCAATCAGAAATACCTTTGTCAAGGTCTGTACATTGGACATATTTTGGAGTCTATGGGTGCTGCCTCTGAAGGAAAGAAGTATGAAGAAAGATATTGGCTATACTATCTGTCTTCAAAAGGGGAAAACAGAGCTGGTGCTACTGCTACTGCAGAGGAAAGCTCTTCAGACAATGTCCCACTCATCAATTTGACGAAAACTGCCAAAAGGAAGCAAGTGGTGTCTCCCTCCATCAGTGTTGAAGCACCACAGAACCTTGCTCTGGTCAATCTGGAAGAAGAAGAAGAAGTCTCTGACCAAGGAGAACTTCAAAGGAAGAAAAGGAGGAAAATCATCTCTCCCTCAACATCTGGAAATGTCAACTCGGATGAGTTGAAGGAGAAAGAACCTGCTGAGGAAACCTCTGCCCACAACCAGAGTCCTCAACAACTTGAAGAAGAAATTCCTCAAGTCCAAAGCCTTCCAACCCCCTCACCTCAACCACAAATAGATGATGCTGATAACCAATTCTGGCAGCTCTACTATGACTGGAGAGCTTGGAAAGTTGGAAATTCAGCAGAGCAACTGTTGGGTTGGGACCAACAACTGAAGAATGAGAAGATCATCAAGAAGTGCTTAGGACTACCAGTCAACCACAGCTGTGAACAAATCTTGGATGATTACTGGGTATGGCAAAGGAACCATGAAGACTTGCATCTGGAATACTTGGTCACCACACCAATTTCAGAATTTGAAGTAGATGATGAGGATACTGCAGTCTACAAGCCAGTCTTTTCAAAAGCCACAGAAGATCAGGTGGTTCTCACTGCAGAAACACAGGCTGACTTGGAAGCAACAGCTGAGGATTTCCAAGTTTTTTCGGAAACCTCACCTGCCCTTGAAACGGTTCTAACTGAAGATGTCCAGGAGAATGCAGACTCCCCTCCACAACAGAACCAGAAAACAGCAGAAGAAGAACTTCAGCAACTTATCCAATCTCAAATTTTAGAGACTCCCACAACTCCTTGTGAGATCTCCAATCCTACTGAAACTGAGATCCCGGAGAAGTCAGCAGAAATTCTGAAGCAGTCCACTCTTCCAGAAACAAATGAAAACCAAGAGGAGCAAGCTGTAGAAGCTCAAAGGAATTCTGGAGAAGCTGAGAAGGAAACTCAAATGGCAGAACTGGAGGCCTCTAAAACTCCAATAGCTATTTTTGATGAGCAGAATGAAGCTGAAGAAAGAAACTCCCTCTCTATGTATATATCAAACCTTGTGCCTGATAAAGCAGAAAGAGAGTCTAAGAGGATTGCTGATGAAGAAGTTTTGCAAGAAGATGCTGAATCTCTTCCTATGCAACTTGTCCAAAGAACACCCTCTTCTCATCAGGTAACCAACTTCCATTTCCATGGCTCTTCCATTCCTACTCTTCCGGATGAGGTACCGGAAATCTGATTAGGTAACCAACTTCCATTTCCATGGCTCTTCCATTCCTACTCTTCCGGATGAGGTACCGGAAATCTGGACAAAGAAGGTCCAAGGGTTAATTGAATCAGCCCTAGCGTCTCAACATGCCTCATTTAGGCAAGAGATAGAGCAGATGGAAGCCAGGTACAACAAACTGATTGAGAAATCTGAAGAGAAACACAGCTCAAATCTCAAGGAAATAAGCAAATCAGTAGAAAAGATTCTAGAGATCATCTCTCTATTGAGTAACTCTGTGAGCAACACGATGGACACACATGCATCTGACAGTTATCTTCAACTCAAGGAGGTTAACAAAATCAAAGAGCAGATAGCAAATGTCACCGTCGGCCTACAAAAGCAAATGTCCCTTCTCCAAATGGACATCAGATCAGCCCTAGCAGTGTCTTCAGCAAATCAGGTAGTGACCAAAGACTACTTGAAAGTGATCATTGACAATCAGAAGGAATCATTCAAACTGTTCAGACTTCTTAGCACAAATTTAGAAATCACCCCTAATAGGAGTAAAACATTATGCTACATGCCAAAATAGGACTTCAAGTTCGTTATCCCCCAAATAGGACCTCTGCCGCCACAATCTTTCTTTCTCTCCCGATTTTGCCCTCCTTTCCTGTCCGCGTTACACATCCGAACTTTCCCCATCCTTGCGATCGTTCCCCATCAATCTGTTTAATTTTGTCTTCCACTCTTCGTTTTTACTGTTATCGAACGGCTCCAGCTCTTTACTTCGCGGTTTGGATTCGCGTTGTACTTGTCCGTTCGTGGAAATCGCTGAAGCCGGACCCCAATCTGGTACATGATTTTTGATTTCATGATTTGAATCGTCCTTGTTCTGCATTTTTTTCAATTGTATTTACTATATAATCATCTGTTTTAACCAAATTATAACCATTAGGTTATTGAAATTATCTCCCACTTATTGTGTTTTACTTTGTGTAGTTGTGTGTGTTCAATGGATAATCAGATTTGGATTATGGTGTATGTTGGTGGAAGCTGGGGAAGTAATAATGCGTTCAATCCAAAGTATACAATTGGATTACCAATTTCCAAGGCTAGCTTATTTGTGGATGTAATTTCTCACCTTAGAGGTGTTATTTGCAAGGGTGACAGTAGTGTGCTTTTAAGGATTACTTATGCTGTTGGATCAATTCTTCCACCAGTTGAGATTAATGATGAAAGTAGCTTCCAATTTTATATGGATTTGAAATCAATTGATCATGACTTCTCAAAGCTCCCAATCTGTGTTGAATTTGTCCATACAACCACCCCTGTTCAAGCACCCTTGCCACTTTGTCATGATAATGCATGCCATGCTTTGATGGAAAATCTGTCGCACTTACCCATCAGCTTCAGTGATACTGTGTCATGTTCACCTTACAGTTCACGTGATTATTCAGACCATGGAAGTGCGCAAGGTAGTGAAGTTATTCAAATGGAGGATCCA